TCAATTCGTGTCAGCCCCCGACATCACCAATGTATTGTGGGTGAGGGCTCAGAGACAACTAATAAGTAGGAAGGGTTGGCTTGTGAACATCCCAGGCTTTTAAAGAGAAGTGAGAAGAAAAAAATAAATGTAGATGGGTCCTTTCTGAATGCAATGTACTAATTCCTAAATGCCTCATCACTAAGAACAAAACAAAAACAAACAAAACCCAGCTAGAATCTTTCATTCCATTCATTCCCCAAGCCCACACTTACTATGAGTCTGAGAACCAGGCTCTGTGCTGTGGCTGCGGGAGGGTCGAAGCTGGAGCAGATGTAGGTCCTGTAATCAAGGAGCTGCAGTCCAGCAGAACAGAGAAGACAGGTCCACCGCACAGCATATGGCAGATGCTCGCTGCAGCTGGAGAGGAGCATTCAAGAGACTGAAGAAACAGGCCAGAGAGATGCTTTCAGGCAGGTGGGAGACAGGGAAGATTTCCTGATGAAGCAGCATTTGCCTGGAGAATGGGGAGCATTCGCCCCGTGGCGGCAAGCAGAGGCACAGCAGAAGCACAAGCGAGAGCAGGCAGACCACAGCGTCAGCAGCAGGACGCAGGGCAGGCTGGCCGGAGCGCGGGGTGGAGGGCGCAGGACGGGGCTGCAGCTGGCCTGGCTGTCTGGTGTCCAGTGATGGGTGGCCTTGACCATCAGTGGTTGACAGGGCTCCTCCGAGCCCGTTCCATGTCCGTGTGGGGTCGGTGCTCAGCACATCATGGGCTTGGTGACGTTCACAGTGAGGCTACCACAGGTGTGAGAGTCGACATGACCCATGAGGGGATCCCCCAGGAGTCCAAACTACTGCCCAGAGCCTGCTCACCTCCCCAGCATCCATTGGAAAAGAAAAGGTCAGTCCCTGCCCTCCCCCCGACAGCAGGACTTGAGCACAGGCTGAGGTCACGTACACACTCAGAGAGCCCCCAGCGTCACTCTGCTCCTCCACCTGCTGCCCCCCGCTGCTTACTGTGACCTGATTTAACCCTAACAACCCCCCACACTCCCAACCCCATGGAGAACAGGCTCTGGAGAGCAGTCATCCCAGCCAAGAGCCACCCTTGCCCCGTGAGCAGAGGAGCCTGGAGCTGCCCGGGAGTGCCTGGGGCCTGCGGGTCGCCCAGGCTTCTGCCGGCCT